AGGTTCTCGTGGCTGGGGGGCCCTGTTGCTGACTGGTCTCCGTTGTGAAGGCTCGGTGTCCTTGCTGCTGAGTTGAGGGGAGAAGTGGTGGCCCAAGAGAGAGACTCCATCCCCAGGGAAAGGGAACACTGTTCCCTGGGAAGCAGCAAACTGCCAGGCTGAATTCCCTTGTGTGCCACAGGGTGGGGCAGCAAAGGGTGCCGAGCAGGGTGACTGCATGCAGTGCGCTGCCACCATGGCTCTGTGCTGGGAGGTGCCCTGTGTGGGGACGGGTGCTGGGGGAGGATGAGTTTGCCTTGTTACATGAGACCCAGGCTTTTCTCCCTGCCTTCCTTGGAGTCGGGGTGCTAAGCAAGGTGTTCTCCCTTCCCCCCCCTCTTGTTGCAGAGAACCAGAAGATGGAGATTGGTGAGTGTCGCTGTCTCCCTGGGGGCTGCGTGCGCAAGCAGATCGTGGGATGCGATGCCAGGGTGGGAGAGTGGAGGGCAAGTTTTTCGTCCCTCCCTGGGGTGGCGAATGCCAGAATGGCCTGGGTTTTGGAGGCAGATGAGGAAGTCTAGATGTTGAGGGTTAGCTAATGCCAGTGGGTCTCAACGACTGCAGGTGCTGGACGCAACCGTGCCCAGAACTGAGGGAGCCCCTGTCGCCACTGCTGGCAGCAGCTCCTGCTTGGGCAGGCCTGATTGCTCTCTCTTCTTTCTACCTACCCCTCATTTGCAGAGGAGCTCCAGCCGCAAGGAGGGGCAGGACGTGGTGCTGAGAAGGGTGACTGCATGCAGTGTGCTGTCACCATGGCTCTGTGCCTGGGGCAGCCCTGGCTGGGGGTGGGTTTGGGGGAGAATGAATCTGCTTTGCTGAATAAGACCCAGGCTTTACCGCAGCCTTCAGTGGAGTTGGAGTGCTAAAGGCGGCGTTGTCCCTTCACCCTCTACCCTTGCAACAAGTGAGATTTGGGGTTGCCATGGTGGGCTGCGTCCAGGCTGGTGGAGGCTTTGGTGCAGGCAGGAGCATGAAGGAAGGAGGTGTTGAGGGAAGGCCACGGTGTGGCTGATGGGGTGGAGAGCCTAGGTCCCTGGCCAGCCCTGCGTTCTGGTAGGGCCGTGGGTGTCGGTGGTTGGTGGCAACAATCCCAGGCGGAAGCCCGTGAGGATGAACTCCACGGAGCGTGACCCATCCACGCCATGCGAGAGGAGTTTTTCATCCTTCCCTGGGGTGGACAGTCCCAGAGTGGACTGGCTTGCAAGGACCCTGTGGGTCTTGCCCTGACTTAAGGTCTTCTTTCTTCTCTTCTCCTGTGACCATGGTGACTCGGCAGAGGAACTGCATGCAAGGAACGGTGAGTCTTTCTGCTTGCCCCCTTCCTTCCCTTCCGCTCGGGGATAGAGGCCTTGGGGCGGGTGAGGAGGGACGCTCCAGCAATGCCAGCTGCTCCCAAGTGCCACGTCGAGAGACCCTGCCAGTGCCCAAGGCTCAACATGGCAG